TTATTATTATTATTATTATTATTATTATTATTATTATTATTATTATTATTATTATTATTATTATTATTATTATTATTATTTTGTTTGTTTATAAATAAAATTTGTTGGCCGCCCATCTTACCATAGGGTAACTCTGGGTGGCTTACAGTTACCTCTAATCTAAAACATAAATCATGGAAGAGAAGTGAAAAAATGTATTGAAATGTCTGTCTTCAGGAAATGTAATAGTTAAGTCCATCTCTGTTTGGAGAACATTTGGTTGAAGTGCGTTTTGTCTGTGGTTTCAGGCTAGGGGGAACTCTTTACTCCTTCCATTCCTCCATCCTGAACTGCCTCCTTCCTCAGCTCATCAGTCCCAGGTTGGCCGTTCGGAAGAGAGCCATCATTGCCCTAGGTCACCTGGTCTTGACATGCAATGGGAACATCTTTGCAGAGCTCATGGAACATCTCTTGTCAGAGCTGAAGAGGAATAATTCCACTTCTACTACAAGAACATATATCCAGTGTATTGCTGGTATTAGCAAGCAGGCTGGACACCGCATAGGTAAGTCTTGCGATTTGGATTTTTATCTTGTTTTTGACCTGTGATGGCTGTTTCCACCACTGTCGCTTTATGCCCATTGCTTATCCCAAGAAACTCCATCCAGTCCTGCCTTGCATTTTTTAATGAGATGTTCACCTTATTCTCTCTTTAATGCTTATTTTGCTCTGAATATCAACTGTTGTAGAAAATGTTTGGAGTTCCTTAGAGGGTAAGCTTAGTTTGGAATTGTGGCCTAAATAATTCTCCATAGATGGACCTCCTACATAATTAATATGATGCTTATTTTAATAGGCCACAAGCTAAGAATAGAAGCGAAGAAGGTATTCCCTACCAAAGGCATCTCCAGAATAGATGCATCCCAATGGCTTGAGGCTTTGAACCTAACCAGGGCTGATAGGGAAAATCTTCATTTGGAAAATGGTAGGGTTTAAGAACTTAATGGGTGATTTCACAATGTAGTGTTGTTTTTTTCTTCTGTTGACACAATTTTCTTGGGTGCCTTGAGTCTTGTGTTTTTTTCTGTCCAAGATACAAATTCTGACTGCACACTTCACACTTGGATATGGATATGGGCTTTCATACCAGAGAAATTAAATCATATTTTTGATATGCCAGATGTTCCTTCCAGTGCTGTTTTGTAAAGGAATAGAACAACACTGTGGTGGATTTGCTATGCCACAACTTCCACATTTTGATTGAAATACAAATATATTGAGTTCATCTAAACGAGAAGGACATTTCTTTAACAAAACAGAACCAGAACAGACATTCTTTTCTTCTGTGATACTCCTTGCAATATCTTTCCTGTGAGATAGTCAGGGCCAGGTCCACCTTGCTTCAAAAGGCCATGTTCTCAATGGACCCCAGTTGTTCAGTGGATCTGAGGAAGTATTTTGTGGATGACTTACTCTGTCTCTGCCTTCTAGGGGACTACCTAGAGAAGATGATCCCATTGATAATTCAGTACTGCAATGTAGAGGATGATGAGCTGAGGGAATACTGCTTCCAAGCCTTTGAGTCTTTTGTAAGAAGGTTTGTACCTTTTACTTAAAGTGTTGTATGTAGCTGACTTGGCTCCCATGTTCTTTTGTTCTAACTTTTAGAAAGAAATCTATTTTTTTTGGTCACCTGTTGTTTGCAACAGATATCAGAGCTATCTGCTCCAACTATCTGTTCTTGATTAGTTACCAGAAAAGTGTAGTTTTATCTGTAGATGTCATGGTTTTCATGGGTGATAGACCTGTAGAAGAATGACCTATCTCTAAGCAAGGGCCTTATAGGGCAAGTCTGTAGCATCACTTATCACTTTCTTGAATCAACAATAACTTCTCATAGAGTCATATGGGATCAATTGCACATATCCAGGAAAATTTGCAGTACGTTTATGGAGTAGCCCAGCATGCTCCATATCTCTGTTTCCTTCCAAATCTGAATTGCTGTACATTCCTGATAAAGAAGTCTCATCTAGTGGTTCTGGAGAATTGAAACCATCATTTTCTGCAACTGGGATTTTTGAGATTGTTACTTTTTAAAATAAAATTTTAACTTTTTTTTAAAGGCTGATAATAAACCAAGTGGATATCACCGTTAGGATGAATAAGTATAAACTGGATAATGAGGGATGAAACATGGCTGTTGCAAGTAAGAGCAATATGATTAGATTAGCTTCTTGTGGGCTCTTGTCCTAAATCTTCCCCGGATCATGATTTTATGGGAGCCCCAGGCTTCAGATATATTTCAGTGGAATTATCCAGGTTGCCTGCATAGTTTTTAAAATAAACTTTGATAAGAAGCTTAAACAAAAATAAGTGAAAGATTACATGGCAAGGGCTATATGTGTATGGCTCCATACTTGTAAACACTACAACACAAAGCGTTGGGAAGTATGCTGATTCTTAAACATGATGTATTGCT